AAAAAAAAAAAAAAAAAAAAAAAAAAAAAAAAAAATCCAGATAGCTGGGCTCCACCTCAAGAGTTTCTGATTCAGTAGGTCTGGGATGGGGCCAAGAATTTGTAGTTCTAACAGGTTCTAGATGACGCTAATGCTGCTTGTCCAGGGACCACGCGTGGAGAACCACCATGCTGGAAGGTTCTGATCAACCCAAGGTGCGCTGAAGGAGCGACCTCCCAACAGGAGTCTCCACTACTGCCGCCAGGACCGGGCTGCGCTTCAAGGCCAAGCGTGCCACTCACTTCGTTCATTCTCTGCAGACCTTTTCCCGCTGCTTTAAAAATTTATTTAGTTAGTGAGTTAGTAGGGTGAGTTTAGAGTTATTTATCTATCTCTATTTTTCACGTAGAGTGAAATGGATGAGAACCAAATCCAGATGGCTGGAGACGATGTGGATTTACCTGAAGATCTCCGGAAAATGGTAGATGAAGATCAAGAAGAGGAAGAAGATAAAGATTCTATTCTTGGGCAGATACAGAATCTCCAGAACATGGACTTGGATACCATAAAAGAAAAAGCCCAGGCCACCTTCACCGAAATCAAGCAGACAGCAGAGCAGAAGTGTTGTGTGATGTGAGGGTGGGAGGGGTACAGGGAGGGCACGAGCCATCCTTGGAAAAGACCACTCTCCTGTGGGACGTTCCAAACAGTACATGTTTTCACGTAGTGAACACAGTTAGGAAAACCACGATGGCCCATTGATAGATGATAATTCGTTGTTCTAAATATTCCTGGCAGAGCACTAGCTAGCACCTTGCAGCAGGAACCATGCTTTCCTCTTAGTTATAAATGACATGGACTGCAAACCTTCAGTTGGAAATAGTGATGTAGAACATGTGTCTGCTTAAAGACCTTAGATGAGCCAGGAAGAAACAAAAGCAGGTGGCATTTCCTCTCCAACTTTCTTCCTTAGAGGCGAAGTTCTCAGCCTGTCCAGCTATTCACAGGACACCAGGTCCCTTCAGAGAAAGATGTGTAGAGTCAAGGCGTCCACTCCTTGGAGGGCAGCCCTCTAAGAAGCCGAGATGCCCACAGGGAGCGGAGGCCGCAGACTCCAGGGCAATCAAAAGTCACACTCACCCTTCAACCTCTCAGGCTCCTTGACACTTGGCAGGGATTCTCATCAACTTTGGTCCTTGGACACTTCTCAGCCAAGTGGCAGTAGCAGGGATGTGGTGAATGGTGAGGAATTGAGGCAGGAAATAGACCTCACCAGCCCTTTGCATTGGAGATCATCATTCTAGAGGCCATGTGAAAAATGGACCCGAGGGAGGCACAGTTAGAGGCAGAGGAAAACCAGGGAGGCAACTGCTTTTTTTGAGTTGAGCTTAACCCTGTACTTGGTGATAGCAATGGGAACACAGTGGGTAGACTAACAGAGAGCATTAAGAAGTTAAATCAGTCTCTCTCTCTCTATCTGCTCCCAACCTCTCTCTCACCGCCTTCTGTCCTTCCTGCCCAATCTCCTTCTCTCTCTTTTTTTTCTTCTCCTGTCCCTTCCCATCCCACCCCTTCAGGCCACCTTCCAGTAAATCACACTGTCATTTGGTGCCACAGGCTTTCAGGGTAGACACTGATTTTTTCCCCCTAATACCTGCTCTCTTTCAAAAGGAATAATTCAAAACACTTAGGACAATTACCACCAAAACACTTCGAGCTATTTAGCTAAAGCCCACCAAACCAAAACAAAATACCGTTTTTTTGGTGAATCTGTTCATATTAAGGATCGAAAACAAATTTTGTCAAGAAGAACTGCTCTGTCAAACGAAAAGGAAACTAGGACTAAAAACTTAGGGTCTAACTTGTTCTAAACCCAGCGTTCCCAAATGTGTTGTCTAAGAAGTTTCATGTTATAAAAGTATTCAAATAAAACAAATGACTAGAGGTCCACAACCTTTGGTCCTTGGCAAAGTTTAGGCTGTCTCAGAAGTTCCCAGGAGGACATTGGTACAATGATTGAGGCTAGTTAACCTTCTAGTCCACAAACCCAGATGCCGGGGCCACGTTTTAAAACCATGCTTGCCGGGCGCGGTGGCTCAAGCCTGTAATCCCAGCACTTTGGGAGGCCGAGGCGGGTGGATCACGAGGTCAAGAGATCGAGACCATCCTGGTCAACAAGGTGAAACCCCGTCTCTACTAAAAATACAAAAAATTAGCTGGGCATGGTGGTGCGTGCCTGTAATCCCAGCTACTCAGGAGGCTGAGGCAGGAGAATTGCCTGAACCCAGGAAGCGGAGGTTGCGGTGAGCCAAGATCGCGCCATTGCACTCCAGCCTGGGTAACAAGAGTGAAACTCCGTCTCAAAAAAAAAAAAAAAAAAAAAATGCTTATCTTTTATCAGAAATGGCATGGGAGTTGTGATTTTTTTCAGAGCAAAAGCTTTAAAATACTTTTTTAAAAACTGCAATATAATAGAGAAGATTTGTCTTCGGTTTCATGCCTGACTCTGCCCTGTGGTTGACGGGGTGGGTAGTGTGGACGGGTGAGGGGAGTGCGTGTGGCCTGATGTTTGCACACTTTATATGACATAAAATACTACAGCTGCCAAATTGTTCCACAGACTAGCCTCAGGATGGCATGGAAGACATGCTTTCTTGTAAAAGATACAGCCAGTTCTGCTAAGGAAATCACTAACACTTCCTCTTGACCGTCAAAATTACTTCAGTGTAATTTGGTCATTGTCCAATGGGGCTGTGCAGCTGCTAGAAGACTCTGACCGTGATTCCTCACATGTCACACCGCACAAGCCCATGACACAGCCCAGTGCATCACATCACCCCACACAATGGTATCCCACATCATGTTACCCCAGACCACAACCTATCACACCATATTACACCACAACACCCCACCCCACACTACTCCACCCTCCCCTCACCAAACCACCCCACCCCAATCAACACCAAAGCACATGTATGTGGGTTGGGAGATGGAGGGCATGTATTAGAGCATCCAGAGGGCCCCTTTCTCTCTAGAGGGTAGATAGATGTCTCTGCTGTGTGACGTTGATGTGCACAAAAAGGTCTCCCATCATCCAAACTTAGAATCCAACAATTATAAAGGACTAGAAGGGAATCTATTTCAATCTCCCATACAATAAAGGGACCCTTTCCAACTTATCCCAATTGAGCCTTATTTGAAAGCTTCCAGTGGTACAAAATTCACTATCTGCTGCTCCAAGGAAATTTGACCACTAGTCCCTCTATTTGTAGACAGATCTAGTTGTTAGAAAATCCTTCTCTTAAGCTGGAAATGGCTGCACTTTAATACACTGGTCATGGTTCTGTTGAATGGAACTGCACAGATTGTGTCTACGTTCCCACTCAAGCTTTGATACATCCCCTCTCAGTTCTCTCTATCAGGAAGACATCCTTACTTCTTTTTGTAAATTCTCATCATACAGTAGGAACGCTGTAAACCCACTGGGTAATTGAGCTCTGACTGCCAGCGTCTAGGAGTGAAGCCAGCCATGCAGAAAACCACAATGCTGTTGCCTTCCACTCCCTGCCGCTGGACTTGATGCTTGAAGCCATTCCTGAGCCAACTCATGGTCAGGAATGAGGATTTTAGTCCCAATTCCACTAGCACATGACCTTGGACAAGTCATTTATTCTATCTGGAAATCCATTTTCTCAACAATGAAAATCAAGGGGCTGGCTTACTCTACATTCTGTAATTCATTCTATGGTTTCAGGGTGGTCACTGTGGAGATTTATCTTGCGAAAGAGAACACATTAGCCCATTGTCACTGCCACATAACTAGGTTTCAGTCCCTTTACTAGCTTCATCTGAGCAAAGGGACACCTGGCCCCATGGGTGAGGGGTAGGAAGAGAGAGTTTTGACAGATGCTGTAAGAGAAAGGATCAGGAATATGGAGTGTTGCCCATGGAGAGAAAATCTAGAGATCCTGGCGGGAGGGGTGGGTTGGGGAGTTTCTATCCAGACAGAAGGAACCCTAGTGACTTTGGGAAGAGGTGCTGAAGAATAAATTCCAAGAAGACAAATTAAATGGACTTCCCAATTTTGCTTAGAGTTAGTCTAGTCCCAATTAGTTATGGGCAGCTACAGTACAATGAAGCAGGAGTTCTGCTTTTGAAAGACAATTCATATGGTGAGCTCAGTTATCCAGAAACCAACTAATGTAGTTTGTGAGTTATATAAGTACCTCAGTTTTGCTCCTGGCACTAGAAATTTAGTCAAATCCCTACTTACAAACAGAACCATCAGGGAGAAGAGTAAAATTAAAAGTGAAAAATCTAGAGCTTACAGCTTCTGATAATGGAGAATAAATTCCTACTGGATCAACCCTCCTGGAAATAACAACTATAAACTATAAACAAATTGCAGAGAAACAACTGCCTGAATGCACTGGAAGCAGCCAGAAGCAGGTCCACACTGGAGAGAAATGAAACCTGAACTGGGAAGAAGAAAAAAGCACTGGTGAGTTTTCCTTTGCTTACAGGTTTCATCTGAGGGCAGACCCAACTTGAAGCCAAGTAAGACAACTAAAACTCAGAAAACATTCAGCCTTAATGGCTTGAAGAATGAGCAGAGTTTGGGGTGTCCACAGCAGCTCAAAATGAAAGTGCAAATCCTAGAAAGGAGAGAGCCATAGGAGGGGATGCTGAATTCTGTGTATAAAGTCTCTTGAAGATCCTGGCTAATCCCTGAACGATGCATAGAGTAGGCATACTCCAAGCAGCCAGTGAAGGCTAAACAAATGAACTAAGAATTCTGTTACTGCCCACTTAAGAGAAACAGAGTTTTGAGTTTGAATCCAGCCACGTTTGCTGACTGTGAAACAGACAAACAAATGAAAGTAATCTTCAGAAAAACATAACAAAACTCAGCAAAGTAAGCAGAAGGAAGGAAACACTAGAGAGCACAAATTAATGAAATAGAAAACAGACAAACCATAGAAAAAATTGAGAAGTCCAAAAGTTGGTTGTTTAAAAGATCAACAAACTTGACAGACACCTAGCTGAATTGCTTAAGAAAAAAATAAGAGTACACAAATGACCAATGTCAAAATTGAAAGAGAAGACACACTACAGATCCTACAGACACTCAAGAATGATAAGGGAATATTATGGAGAACTTTATGCTAATAAATTTGACAGGTATCTGGGTGAACTTAACAAATTCCTTGAAAATAATGTGCCTCACCAATACTGATGCCAGATATATAGAATGCCCCTATGTCTTAAAAAAAAGAAGTAATTATTAAAACCCTTCCCACAAAGAAAACACAAGCTTAGATGGCCTCACTAGTGACTTTTATCAAATATTTAAGGAAAAATAGCACAATCTTGCCCAAACTCTTTCAGAAAGAGGAAGAAGAAATTCTTCTCAAGACATTTAATAAGGCAAATACAACCCCAATGCCAAAACCTTACAAAAACATTATTAAAAAAAGAAAATTGAAGACCAATATCCCTGTTGAATTTAGATTTTTAAAATTCTTAACAACTAATAGAAAATAAAAATCCAGGCTCAACATGGTGGCTCATGACTATAAGCACTTGGGAGGCTGAGGTAGGCAGATCATTTGAGATCAGGAATTCGAGACCAGCCTGGCCAACATGGTGAAACCCCATGTCTACTGAAAATACAAAAAAATTACCTGAGCGTGGTGGTGTACACCTATGGTCCCAGCTACTTGGGAGACTGAGACATAAGAATCATTTGAAACCAGAAGGAGAAGGTTGCAGTGAGCCGAGATCACACCACTGCACTCCAGCCTGGGAGACAGAGAGAGACTCTGTCTCAAAAAAAAGAAAAAGAAAATCCAGCAATACAGAAAAAGGATAATATATCATGAACAAAGGATATTTATCTTACAAATTCAAAGGATAATATATCATGAACAAAGGATATTTATCTTACAAATTCAAGGTTGATTTAACAGTCAACACTCAATAAATATAATTCACCATATTAACACAATAAAAAGAAATCCCATATCATCATTTATGTCAATAGAGAAGACATTTATCCAAATCCAACACCCACTGTTGATTTAAAACTCCCAGCAAACTAAGATTAGAATAAAACTTTATCAATGCAATAAAGAGCATCTTGGAAAAACCAGCAGCTAACATCCTTGATGGTAAAACATAAAATGTTTTCCTGAGAAATGGAAACAAGGCAAAAATATTTATTCTCTTTATGTCTTTGCAACATTGAACCGAGCTCCTAGGCAGTTCAACAAGGAAGAAAAAAAGGAAGAAAAGAAAAAATGGGAAAGAAAGATGTGAAACTGTCTCTATTGACAGATGACACGATTACTAATACAGAAAATTCTAAGAAATTTATAAAACAACCAGTAGAACTAATAATTTAGTAAGGTTGCAGCAAACAATGTCAGTATATAATGATCAATTGCATTTTTATATACTAGTAGCAAACAATTCAAAAATGGAATTAAAACAATTTTATTTTCAAAAGCATTAAACAAAATTGTTAGTAATAAATGTAGCAAAAGATGTAGAAGGGCTGCACACTGAAAATTGCAACACATTTCTGATAGAATTCAAGAATATTTAAATAAATGTTTATGGATCAGAAGATTCAATATTGTCATGGTATCAATAAACTCTAAATGAGCTATAGAGTCGGTGCAGTCTCAGTCATAATCCTATCACGTAGAAAAAGATGAGCTGTTTCAAAAATTTAACTGGATAGACAAGCGTAGTAGGATATACAGAACCATCTTGAAAAAGAAAAACAAGGTTGGAGGATTCACTCCACTTCCTTAAGGCTGTACTATAAAGTTACGGTAACCATGACAGCATGATGACACTGTACCGATCAACACTGCTATCAGAAACAGACCCACACTTACATGTCAACTGATTTTTCTAAATTTTTATTTGGAAATAATGATAGATTCACAGGTAATTGCAAAGAA